CACAAAAAAAAAATGCTCCATTAAATGAATTAATCTGAAAATTAGCCAAGTAAACTGTTCTGACAGGCAGATTAATGCTAGTTATGTACGTTTTAAGAGCGCCGATCGCTCGATAATCAAACGCGCAACATTTCAAGGGCAATCGCATGACATTGAACTATGGTGGTGACCCACGGGAATACAGGTAGCTGAGTACAACTCGTTAGCAACAGGCTACTTATGGGATTGAAGTAAAATTTTGCAACGCCTTTGTCAGTGTTGAAAATAAATCATAATGCGTTGTGAAAAAAAGTGAAAAATATTTTATTTTTTTTAATTCAAATAAAGAAATCGTTTTCACTTAAATTGATTTCGTGTGACTGGCTATTTTTCCACTTCAGGAAAAAAATACTGCTTATACAGAAACTCACTGCAGCATTAATTAGTATTTGTTATATAAAAAAGTACACTGGATTAAAAAATATCTCAATAACTTTCACGCTTATCGGTGAATTTCAGTCGATTATATCTACTTTTTGTGCTTCGGTTACTTATGGAAAGTTTTTCAGTGATAGTTTAAACTAAGATTGAGTAAACTGAGTTTAAATTTAACAGCTGGCTGACATTTGATTGGCTGATCTTAGTTTAAACCAGCCAGATCGGGCGTTTAAATTTAGTTTAAACCACGGCCGTGCACTGAAAAACTGGCCCTTAGTGTAGTGTTTGGAGACTTTCTAGAAAAACATAAAAAATACGAATTTTACTTGTTTTAACGAAGAAGTGTAAAGTTTGGAAATCTCCAAAAAAAGGTAAGAAAACACAAGGATTGTAGCTATTTTTGGTACTTTTTAAGAGATGTCTTACATGTTTTACTATTTAACGTACAACTGCAGAGTTTAGAGACATTACAAAGAAACGTCTAAACCCCGAAAAAAAAATCTATTAAAGTGCCTATTAACAGCTGTCTAGTATTTCTAAAATGAAATGAAAAAGTGCAGAGATTAGACACTTAACATAAGTCGCGCCAGTAAGCGTTTAACAGATTTTTGAAGCCCTTTAAAAGTTTGAATTCAAACAGCGCCTGGAGATGAAAGACCTGAAGACACTGCCGGCAAAACGTATTGGCACAGATAAATTTATACGATACATATGCAACAATAGTATTTATTTTAATTTTTTTCCGCAATTTTTTTATAAATATATGGTTCATGCTACGGCAATAGACATAAACATATAATTTCTAAACTTTGTGCAAAACTCAGGAAAATTCAAGAAATATTCATGCAAATTTTCAAGTGTTTAATAAAATTATATGCAGTTATATAGCACAATAAATTTAGTTATAATATAGAGCAAGTTTGTAATAGCTCGGAATTACCGTTGATTTTTGGCATTTTTCTCACGCAGTTTCTTCCATACAAAAATTATTTTGAAAATACATTGTATGGAAAAAATGCTAAACAACTTCAAGAAAAAAAAGTCGCAAATAGTCAGCGCGATTTTCTACGAACTTTAAGCTTGCATTTTGTACACTAAAATTTAATGCGCTACAAACTGCAAACTCAAAAAAAAAAAAACCAAAAAGTTGAAAATTTGCATTAAAATTTATTGAATTTTCGCAAGTTTTGCACAAAGTTTAGAAATTATATTTTTATGTTTTTTGTTGTAGAATGAACCATATTTTTATAAAAAATTTGCGAAAAAATTACAATAAAAAATATTGCACATTTTGAGAAAAATTCTCTGTGCCAATACTTTTTTCCGGCAGTGTACATATGTATGCTTAGCTATTTCGGATATACATATTTAATGAAAAATAATTGAATGTTTGACATTTTTTCCTTTAAAGTTTCCAGGGGCTTCTAGGTAAAACTTCAAATGTTTTAATTCAATTTTAGTTTAGTTAGCGTTTAATTTACTCATAATCGCTTTTTTCGTTTTTTTTTTTTACTTGAAAAAATTTCTCCATATTTGAAGCGACACAGTAAAGGAAATTACATAGAAAGAGCGAACGACGACCCATCAATTACGAATATGGAACTATAATTATGTGTTTTAAGTGCTTTCAAATGAGCACAGCAGCGATAGCCAAAATGAATGCATTGATCTGATTATCATTTACATTAGGTAAGTGTTTGTTTCTTTTTCTCAACACCTTTTTTGTCATACCTTTTATTTATGATTTATGCGCCATAAATAGACTACAATGGTCAACACAATGCGCTTGCGCACATCACTTAAGAGTTCAACAAATTTTCAATATTTATGTGGGCCGTAATAAAGCATTCCATATCGTCGGTTGGAGTACAAAACCGCGTATCAACAAAATGCAAATCCGAGAGTAAAAATATTCATATTTCAAAATGATTATCTTTTTTACAAAGCAATCGCATTTCTGGCTAGTATATTTCAGGGCGAATTGATAAGGCTTGAGCTTGTGAGCGCAAATCTAATTTTTAGCAACAAATGTCATCGTACATACAATAATAAAAACAAAGAATATATATAAATAATCATAAAAAATAAAATTTTCCACCGACTTTGTGTGCGTTCTGGTGCGTTTGCATAACGAGTGCCTTCAATAAAATAATAAAAATGGTGCCTAAAGGTATGCAAATTCAAATAATAAAAATCGGCCGATATAACATGGTAAAAAGGAAATTAAAAATATAGCGGTGATACAGTGTAGTAAAGTAATGAATATGTACGATTGTATGTGTAGTGTGTATTTGCAAATGAACAAAGTAATGATTTTTATTTATGTATGATACAGTCAGCGTCGAAAATATGAAACCCTGATGTTTTCATGATTTTCGTTATTTATATACATTTTCCACGACAATTCTTTTATATTTTTAACCGACTTCCAAAAAAGGATAACCTCAGTTCGTCGGAATATTTTTTTTTATTATTTTTCTCCCATTCACGTTTTCATCAAAATTTTCAACTTTTTAATTCGATTTCCTAGAAAATTTTTGAGTATACAGTTTTGTAGCCTCTTAAATTTAGTATAAGATGCAAACATTTTTTTTTTGTCAAGGGTGTTTCGCATTTTCTTCCATATAACGCATAAACAAAATCTATTTTTATATGGAAGGAAATGCGCAACATCCTCAAAAAAAAATTAATGGACTGCAAAACTTGCGTACCCAAAATTTTTCTATGAAATGGAATTGAAAAGTTGAAAATTTTGATGATTTGCCGTTCAAAGAACTATTTGCCGTTCAAAGAACTATATTTTTTTTTTAATTAGAAAAATTTGGTATGACAAATATATATAAAGAAACGTCAGGATATTCATATTTTTGACGCTGGCTGTAAATTCTGTAAACTATTGGACACATTTGATTATTTTTGTGAGAAAAATGGGTGTATTCAAGCTGCAAATATTGCGGCAATGTTACTTTTATGGAAGAGCATCACGTTCTACGTGAAAATTTGGACGACTCTGCCCCATCAAGTTTTTGAAGAACAAATTTTTGACAATCAGTTGCGCATCATTGGCAAATCAAAATCAACACAAACATTTTTGCTGCCGAATTTCTGCAGCATTTCAGAAAATTTTCAGTTCATCAAGAAAGCAACCTGGCTGCAGTATTGCAGTGTCTATTCACTAATGCAGCTACTTTACAGCACTTTAACGCTATATGTGGCAATGTCGACTTTGTAGACTTTAAGTGAAACTTGTTTATTTTATTGTCTATGTTGAAATTATTAGTTTGTGAACTTTGGGGACTTTGTGTGAAACGTGTTAAATTTATAGCGGACATTCAGATTTACGTTTTGTAAATGTTTTAGAAGCTTTTAGCTATTTTTGTGGTTTTGAAAGTTACTAAAAAATTATTTATGTAGATGCTCTAATAACTTTCCGAATATTTTGCATAAAAATATACGCATGTATGTTTATTACACATTTTGGATGCGTGGTTTAGTCTTTGGAGCCATACATTTTTTTAAATCTTTTTTAGAGTTCAAGGACTGAACACAAATGATTTCAAGTTAATTTTTCTATAGAACTGTTATTGAAAAGAAAAGAAATACGCAAAATTTGTTTTTAATCAGTCCATTGGAAGGAAATATCTCTTATAGACTTTTTTAAAGTAGCGGAGAAATTGGAGATTCAAACAAAAATTGTAAATGTAAGCTATACAAATTTTTTATTTGGATTTTTGAAGTTTTTAAACTTAAATTCATTTGTGTAGGGTTTTCAACATTGTTTTTAACATTAAATGGTTTGTGTAGTTCGGAGACATGATTTGGGAAATTGTTTATGCATTTTGATAGTTTTTTTTACGGCTTTAGTCATGGCGTATAATTCCGCCTTGGGCTTTAGTCGAGAAAATAAGCAGACAAAAGGCTTAAAATAACTGCAAAAGAATTAAAAAAGTGCTGAAAATAAAGACTTTCCCAAAAAAAGATTGAATCAGACTTTAAAGAGTTTATTAGATGCTGGATGAAAATGGAATATTGGTAAAGAACGCAAGCGCACTACGAAGACATGAGCGACCACCATACTTCTTCAATACGGACGCTTTTTCCCATTCAATGCTTTCTACTTATGCACTTAAGATAAAAGTGCATTTCACTTATATATGTATATAAATATTAAAGAATGTACTCCGAGCAGCTCAACCAAGTAAAAACGATTTATGCATGTACATATGCGCATATATAACTAATGTATTCATATATACGAATGACCTCAACAAGAGTATTTTAGTATGTATGCATATTCGAACTTATCAAAGGCATTTCGATACTGTTGGAACAGTTGAGCGTTTGCAATTAAATTAATATGTATGTGCATATATTTCAACGCATTATCGAATGCATTGTCGACATCCATTCTGGATTACTCATACGCCATTGACACTCGTCACGTTGGGAACTTATAAGAAGGGTTATTTTTTGTTCCTTTGCAAAGACATTCATTCTGTTTTTTCATTGATTAGCAGATTAAGACATATTTTTTATTTAATTTATTTGCCTAAAAATTAATTTATTTCTTTATCTTCACCTACCTTTCTGTAGTGGGCTCAGCACAGATCAATGGCTGCTTCAATTCTATAACTTGTCCATTTTTCTCCTTCAGTTCACCATTTTCCATGTAATATTGTACCAGTTCAGGAAGCGTAGCAAATTTTTCACCTGCCAAAAGGGTAAAGAGGAACATTTGTAGCCAAACAAATTACCAAGGTTATTGTATGTCAACGGGACTAGTGCTTACCACCATACAAATCGAAAAAGTCGCCATTATTTTGTATTTTTATATGCGTTACCTCCTGGCCGCGACGCACCGATAACGTGAAAGCTCCTGGATTCGAGGATGAGAGGCGAGCCAGAAATGATCCATCAAAGCCTTTCTCACGCAGCAATTTCTCAGCTTCTATTCCACTTATTGTTGGGTGAAACCATCTGTGGGTAGGGGGAAGAAAAGTTTAATATGTACATTAGTAATGTTATCGGGCTACGAATAAATTAGCAAATATTTTGACTTTTTTCTGCGCAGCAGTTCAAATCGTTTCTCTGTTTGCGAAACGCAGAAGGAATCACTATTTTCCATCGCAATTTTGTGGCTGGTGTACTAAATCCTACAGCGGAATACACGCGTGCTTGGGACTTTTTTCCTTTTGTGTGTATGCTCTCTGGTTTGTATATGAATATAAGTGTAGCACACTGATTTTCAACTCGTCAGCTGTGCGCACAGGACACGAGCACAAAGCCGGTCGTGTGCAGCTGCAATTAACCGTGGGTGTAGGGTGAATGGGTGGCGTGAGTATTGTACTGCTAGGTGTAATCTTTGTTTGTTAAGCGATATAATCAGATTTTACCGATTGCATGCGAAAACGTGAGGAAGGCCATGTCACACAGCTGGCAGACGCTCTATAATACTTTGATTATTCACACTTCATTTATGATTTGGCTATCGCTGCTAGTTTTTGTATGCTTATTGTTGTCGGCAATTCGAGGGGCAGACGAGAGTGCTGGCATTCTAATCGCGCTTGGGTGGGTGCGGGTGGTGGCAATGACGACAGTAGCATTGTGAAGCGTGTATACACACTCATGCACCCAACACACGCCCGCTGATTGTACATACCAATACACCCATATTAAGTACACGCGTAAACGCTTGGCAGCATGCACTCAGCAACAGTGGATCGCACCAGCGAGTCAGACCGAAAGGCAGTCAGCAACAGCTACAAAAGGCCTCAGCAGCAAAGCAACACATAGTGCTAGACAATCAGGCAGGCAGACAGCCAGTCAGCCAGCTGCAGCAGCTTCAACTTCGGCCGCACACCAGCATACAAACGAGAACAATGCCAATTTGCGAATTACACTTTCCTGATCACATTTCAAGCGTGTCTTTAATACAAACGCCTACGTTATAGCAATAGGCATAATCTTGTGGCACTTAAATTTATTATATTATAATTACCTTCGCGATGACATTTTGTGATGAATTTTAGCTCAATATCGAAGAAAAATTTTTCTCCCAACACACTTCCTTTTTGTTCCAGTTCCAAGCTTTTATCTTTGTGTCCTTTTCATCACCTTTCTGACAGCCAGGGTTGATTTTTTTTCGGGCAAAAGTAGATAAAAGGAAACAAAAATTTAACAAACCGTTTCGACGCAGCTCATTCAGAGAACATTACCGGCTTTCTTCACATGCTTGCAAATCTAGCTTGCGCTCTGGTTGTTTCTGTCGCAAGCGAGATGAGTTTTATTGACTGGGCACTTGGCAGCACACTTCTTTCAGGCGAAATTTGTATTTTTCACCAAAACAAACAATGTTTCTTCTCTGAAGAATTCAAGGTGTATTTATTTCCTATGAAATTTTTGACAGTCTTCGCCGCGAAAGCAAAAACAAAATACATGTACATTTTGTTGTTGGCGTACCGATACCACCTTATTGAATACGCCTTGGAAGAATTCTACAAAATGAGAAAATACCGTCAACAAAAAATTATAGTTGAATACATGCTAGATAACGTAACCGCGAGATTTTCCAGCACGTGAAGACGGCCGATTAAATACGTTATGGTTATCTGGCGCATTTTGGATCTACATTCAATTCATGGAAAATTTTCTATACAAATAAGCAAAACAAGAATTTTTTGGATGCATCGAATAATGTATTAGGATGTAGTAAGTAAATAATTTGGAATGTTCCAGGATTTTTTGTATAAAAAAATACAATACTAATTACTTAAGTAAGGTGTTGGCAACTCTAGTGCGAAATATCAACAAATCAGATCAGCTGTGAAGTTATGTCAAATTGCCGCCTTCGTTCGTTGCCATCGTGTTCTTTGCCAAAATCTCCAACTGGAGCAGAGTAAGTAAAAACTATGTACTGCCGGTGGTATTTCATCAAAATTTTATGAAAATCATAACTAACAATACCCGCTTTCAGGTAAGCGCGAATGTTGCTCAACTGCGCGTTAAGACGTAGCGTTGCACGTGTCAAATTATTTCAATACTCGCAAGTAAGCAGACTACTTGCGATGGAATCTCCAATAGCACGTTCTCAAAGTTCAAACTTGGAGGCACAAGCTGAACAGCAGCAAACCGATACCGCACAAGGTCAGCTCGTCCAACTGCCCGCATCTAGAAATCGAAAAGGCAATCTAAATACCGTACTCTCGCAAGTTGGTGTGGAATCGCGGCCGGCTAAACCAGCGCCACCACAACTGCGACGCGAAAGACAACTTCAAGCGGCAAAGAAAAAATCTACACCTTATATACCGGGCATAGTAAATTTGCAAGTGTTAGGCGCCGGTGCAAATGGCTCACCAAGCGCAATCTACCTATTCACCGATCAGGCCCGCTATTTGTTTAATTGTGGGGAGGGCACACAGCGTTTAGCACATGAGCATAAAACAAAGCTGGCGCGGCTAGAACATATTTTCGTTACACGTAACACATGGCCCATGGTAGGTGGATTTCCTGGTCTAGCATTAACGGTACAAGATGCGGGCGTTAAGGAAATGGCTTTGCATGGACCACCGCATTTAGATAGCGTGCTGCACAGTATGAAGCGTTTCGTAGTGCTCAAGACGCTGAAGGTAAGATAAAAGTAGACGTAATTTTTTTAAATAAAATAGCCACAATTTTAGGTAAACACACGGGATTGCACAGAGCAGTCGGATTTTGAAGACACCGTCATGAGCGTCAAGTATGTGCCGCTGTATAAGCAGCAACCAGCAGCACCCGATTCAATAGATGCGCAAAACCAAATGGTGGTTGCGTACATTTGTAGACTTAAACCACGTCCAGGTGCACTTAATTTAGTTAAATGCGTTGAGCGTGGCGTGACACCTGGTCCGCTGCTAGGTCAACTTAAGAACGGTATTGACGTTACCCTACCCGATGGCACCGTTGTATATTCAAAAGATGTTAGCGAACCCAGCGAAACGGCGCTTTCGTTTGTATTTTTGGACGTACCGTCAGAAGAGTATTTGGCTGCACTACAAGCAGAGGCGGGAGTCTTTCAAAAACTGCAACAGGATACCGAAAATGAAGTGGCGCTGGTTGTGCACTTCACACCAGCTCATATGCTGGAGAATAACTGTTATCGCGCTTTTATGGAAAACTTTACACAACGCACCCAGCATATGTATCTCAATTCGCCGCGCAACACTTTCTCCGGCTACATAGCAGCGCATCGCATACAGTACCAGTTGAACCAATTGAATGCTCGCACATTTCCACTGCTTGCAGAGGCGCTGGAGTCTTGCAACAGCATGAATATCAGCACTAAATTAAAGAAAACAAAGTTGAGTGAATCGGCGAATGAAGAGAACTGCGCTGGAGAATGTGCGAATGCGGATCATGCCTTGACAGAAACGCAAGCAACCATAAACTCCCTCACAAACTTCCACTTGCGACCGCGTAAAGGTAAATGTTGAAAGCCTTTTTTCTTTCAAATTTAAAAAAAAAAATTCCCTTTTAGGCCTGGACCGAAGCACCGAGGCGCAGCTGAACCCCAACGAATATATTAACGAGACACAGGCATTGGCCGACTTCCCCGCATGCCTGAGCAAGCTAAAAACCGAACTGCAAACTGTTCCAGCGCCTAATTGCACATCTCAGTACCCCAAAATAACCTTCCTCGGCACAGGCTCCTGCATACCAAACAAAACACGCAACGTGAGCGCTATAATGATACAGCCCACCGAGAACTCCTACATGTTACTCGACTGCGGCGAAGGTACACTCGGCCAAATTGTGCGCTTCTATGGCAAACAGCGTGCTGAAGAAGTTGTACGCAATCTCAAAGCAATCTACATCTCGCATCTCCATGCAGACCATCACATCGGCCTTATTGGGTTGTTGAATGAGCGTCAAATATTGCTCCAGCAAGTAAATGTGCCACTGGCTGAGCAGAAAGTGTTACTCTTTGCACCAGTACAAATACAACCGTGGCTAAATTTCTACAATGAGCGCATTGACAGCATCGCGGATGCCTACACACTCATCGGCAATGCAGAAATGTTGGAGAAGCCCTTGGATTTGCGCGAGACGCGTGCCGACTTAAGCATTGATGCGGTGGCCACTTGCTTGGTGCGTCACTGTCCACATTCCTATGGCGTTAGTCTCACGCTGCCAGCAACAGCAGGCAGAAATGAGCCTGTGAAGATCACCTACAGTGGCGACTCAATGCCATGTCGGGATCTAGTTGAGCTCGGCCGCAAATCCACGGTGCTGATACACGAAGCGACCATGGAGGATGATTTGATGGATGAGGCTAAACATAAAATGCACAGCACAATATCGCAAGCGATCGCACAGGGCCGTGAGATGCAGGCGCAACACATCATACTCACACACTTCTCTCAGCGTTACGCTAAGCTGCCACGCATGCAGCAGTTGGTGGGTGGAGGTGAAGCGAAAGACGATGAAATGCGTAATGTAGCGATAGCATTCGATAATATGCAAGTGACGCTGGGTGATTTGGAGCACTTTCATCTCATGTATCCTGCGTTGCATGCGCTCTTTGCGGAGCATGCTGAGGAGCTGGAACAAAAGGCGTTGAAACGTGAGTTGAAGTTGGAAAGAAAACGGAAGTTGTTGAATACGGACTGAGTGGGAAGACGGTGTGGTAATTACAAGTAATTAGTTTAAAAAAGCTGCGTTTTCGATTTTGTTATAAAGAGGGTAAATTATGCTAAGTGTGTTAACAATGCGCTTTTAAATTTATTTGTAAGCTATAAATTTATATGTATGTAAGTAAAAATGAATATGAAGAAATACATATATAGTATGTATTAAGAAGATACTAATCGAAACTATCGTGTTATATGTAGTTACTCGCCACAAGAAGCACAATGAGCGTGGAGGGGAAGAAAGTGCCATTGTACTAGTATCCATTATAGAACTATATTTTTTAATCTAATTTTTTTTTATAAATTACATTCTTAAAATGAATCTCTAAAATACTGCAAATGAAACATGCTTGGACCAAATTTTTTTCAATAAAAACTTTTATTTGCTGCTGAAAACGTCTCATTCGACAAAAACAAAAAGAACAGTTCCATTCGAACACTTCATGGCATTAGTGTATTTTAGTAATGTACTTAGTTATTGTACATACAAAGTAGTGTATTCATTACTTCCAGTTAATGGTAGCCGCCATAGTAACCGCCATGAGGGTAGTAGCCATGTCCACCGTAGGATGGACCGCCATGGAATGACGAGTAGCCTCCGCCGTAGGGTGGATAGCCACCACCGAAATGACCATAACCTCCCCCATAACCACCACCGTAGCCACCACCATAGCCATAGCCGCCATAATAGCCATGACCGTAGCCGTGTCCATACCCATGCCCATAGCCGAAGCCGAACACGCCACGTTTCTCAGTCTTCTTCTCCTCCAAGGCAGCAACGTCTTCCGGTTCCGAAATGGCTGCCAAGCATGCGGCCACGCAGATGATGACAATGAGGAAAACTTGCTGCAGCAGAAGCGAAGATTAAAAATTAATATCCTGGCGATGTGGCGGCAAGCGCCAGTGTACTCTTCACTTACCAGATATTTCATTTTGCTTGAAATTAAGTTTACTGCACTAACGCTGATGTTGAACTAACTGTTGCTGCTAATGTTTTGATGCTTTGACTTTAAATGTTACGATTATTTATACGAAAATATTCGAATTGGCGGCAAGCAGCTTGCAACGCCGCGCTTTTGCGTAACTCGGTGGCACAGCATTCAAGCAACAACTACAAAATCAAGCACAGCATAAATAACTAATGGCAAAAGCAGCTACTCTTTGGCTGGGTATGACGGAACACGAAACATGGTTGTTGAAAATGCCCCGCCAACGCTTTGTAGTTTGAGGCCCTTGGAAGTCGTAATTTGAAACAATCGTCACTGCGCTCTTATTACTCATTAAAGGCATTTGCAATAAAAATAAAAAACGTAGTTTGTGCGTTATTGTGGCTAAACAATAGAATCAAAGGGTCAATTTTAATAAAACACACTCTGAATGGGCGCATGCGCCACCTTGGCTAGGGTTACTGGGTCAAGAATATTGCTCGCTTGGAAGTTTAGGCAACAATTTTAACCAACTAACTGATGAGCTAGAGACTAGAAACTTAGCTCAGAACCCCATGGCAATTATGAAAAATGAATTAATCCGGTAGATGGCGCGGATGTCGAAATATTGCAAAAGCCCCTATTTATGGACCGATTTGGTTCATATTTGGAATGTACATTACCTACATAAAAATGAATAACTAAATAAAAAATTACACGATAGGTGGTGCAGGAGTCAAGATATTTTGAAACCCCGTGTTAATGGTCCAATACTTCAATTTATTTGAATAAATCGGGCGAAAGGTTCGAAAAAAATCTCCAAAATCTCAAAAGTTTGAGCTGTAAAGATTTGTATGAATAAGATTTCGAGTTGCAACTTTCCGTTTTTTTTCTTAAGTTCAAGCATAAAAAATAAAGATAGCGTTTTTGAACTGCCGAATTCATCGTTTTAGTTCTGCACCTTTTTTCCATGTGGTTGTTGTTGCGATTCTCTCCCAGAGAGAACCATAACAGCAATCACATGGAAGAAAAAATTCAGAGACATTTCTCGAAAACCTCGAAATTTTTAATGAACTACTAAAATTATAAATTTCCATTTCGCAATTTTTCGAGTATAAGAGAATCACATAATATATATATATGTATGTACATATTGATACCTGAGTGAAAGATCGACATATCTCGGCAACCATTTCGGAAACTTTTTCAAAAACTTCCTATTTCAGAACTTGGCTGTAAAATGCCCTATCTCAGAATTCGATTTAAAAACTCTGAGATAGGGCGTTCTTTAACCAAATTCTCAGATAGGTGTTTTTCAATAAAATTGTGAAGTAGGGCGTTCTTCAAAAGTTTTTTGAGCTAGTTCGTTTTCGAATCGAAAAAACAAAACCGACTTCAATTCTCATATAAAAATTTAAGATTATCTTTCGGTTAACGTGGTCCAAAGTTATGCGGTAACATGCATAAAAAAAAGTAATCCGATGAATTTATAACCTTCTCCTTTTTGTGAAGTCGGTCAAAAATGTAAATTAAGCTTACATCGCGGTATTTCGCTTTTTGAAATCTTTTATTATCAAAAAAAAAGCTACATATGTACGCAAGTAAATATGTATTTGCATCTGTCCGTCTACGTTTTAGCAAATTTCAAACGTATCATATTAATGCAATAAGCATTAACAAATGACAATTGGTTGCACATGCATCCATATGTGTACATACGTATATACATATTCCCCTAAACATATACACTACGCATAAGTATTTCTACCGTGGTCTAAGCTGAGTAATTGATATACCCACCCGTCTAGAGTTTGCCCTATTTACCGATGGTGATTGGGAAAGTGGTTACTTTGCATGCGTTTCGTTGTTGTTATTGTTGTCTTGTAACTAATTGCAATGCTTGTTATAATAATTTGCCAAAAACAACAATGGAAGGCTGATATTTGTTTACCACACCGCCTTTACAAGCTTCTTTCAAAGCGCCGTCGCCGCTGGTGGTGGCGCAAAAACGGGAAAAGCATCACATTACTACTCCCGCAATGTAAAGTGACATAATGAATTAGCTTAAATGTAGGTATGTCTATATGTACATATATACATATGTAAATATACTATATCGGCAGCAGACAGAAGGAAGGACGTGGCATGCAGACTGAATCAGCACACTTAACTAATTTTATTATCCAGAAACTAAAATGTAATACTCTGATGTATTCAACACTACTCTGCTACTTAACAGTAAATTATTTTTTTAAATTTCATTTAGCGGTTGACAGTTACTACGCGCCGTCGTTTAGCTGCCACAGATAAGTAGTTGATTGATCATGCCTCTGCAAAGCCTTGCCTTTGTCGCTGTGGAGCGGTCAGTTAATATTAATCAATGAATTAGTGAATTATCTTGTGATTGCATTATTTAGGTAACGGTTAGCATGCAAGTGACCTCAACTTATGCCTAAAGCTATAATTATTTCATATTATTGCAATATGCTTTATGCATTGTTGTTGTTTGTGATTTGTGGTGCTATTGTTATTCGACGAATTGCGTTATTTATTTGATTCTAAGTTGTTTGTTGCAAGTCATTTTGAGGAAGTCGTTGATAGATACGCCTACAAACCAGCCATCAGCGTTTGCGGCTGCGGCATTTATATTATTTGTTTAATTTTGCATTTAGTTTTTATGAAAATTTATTATTTCCACGTCTTTTTTCAGTCTTTATTCGATACTCAGCAGCTGCTCAGTGATTCAAAAATAAATGACGGCAACTGACCAGCCCCGGCAAGAACTGATGAGCAAAACGCTGCATTGGATCGGTTTTCTTCGTGTCTCGCCCTTTTCCCCTCCACAGCTTCTGCTAGAGTTCAGCGCAAAACAGCCGGATACGGCAGCTTTCAGGTTTTTTCGAATAGCTGCACTTAGTCATTTGTCAGAAGAAACGACCTTGACCCCAGTTTGCTGGCAAAAGGAATTTGTGCATTGTTGTTGCGGCAACTCAGTTGTTTTGCTGCAGCAATGCTTTGCTTCTCCATATTTGTGGCCAGCGAATTTTTGCCTTTCCCGTTGTAGTTGCACTTTTATTACTGTTGCATTGCACGATTTTACTCATCGATTCTGTGATACCACCCACTTTTTGCGTTTTTTTTGCCCATCAATCGTGCTTCACAATGTTAAACACAAATACATAGCGCTGACTTGAAATCGCATGGGAAAATTTACGCTGGAGTGGGGCAATCAAACAGCAATGAAGTATAATTCAACTTACAATTAGTTGTTGCGACTATTATTGTTCGGGTAGAATATGTACTACATACATATATATTTTAGACTACTTGAAAGAATTTTTAGTGCTATTGTTGGCAAATTGAATTTATTATACGCTGCAGCTGTGAATATCAAATTTAAAAGCAACCACAAGCAGCCCATATTCTTAGATTCAGCATGCAATGTTGCGCGCATGCGAAGGGGGCGTTACAATGAGCTGGGAATGATTATTGCGGCTGACATAAAGTTCAAAATTACTTTTGCTTTCAACAACTTCATTAAGATTATCTACAGTTTAAATAAACTGCTGACTTCCGCGCCCAACAATCACGACATAAATTGTACTGTTAGAGAACTTAATGATATTTATGGATAAGCGATAACAAGTAATTATTTCGTGTCAAAGTATCTATTTTATGGACTTTTACGCCTTTCAAATAAAAACAAAAAATACGCCTAAATAATTACCTTCTTTCCCGTTTATTGATCGAGGAAAAAAACACGCAGATCCTTCTTGCACGCAGCATACAAATATATTTGAATATTTTACTATCATATTTAAGACCAATCATTATCATGCCTGCACTATATCTTCTGCGCGCACTATATTTCCTTTCTCCTTCAAATGCCTGAAACTCTCTGCTTGCAAAATTAAAATTAGTGATTTTAAACTAGTTGTTCTTCCGTTCAAGTTCAATTTGTGGGCAGGAAGGTCAATTTCTCATTCAATTGTAGTTGTGTTTTGATCAGCTGTGACAGGGTGACTACCATTAGTAAATCACGTACGTTTGCGTTGAACATCTGCGTGAATTGTTCGTGCGTCATGTGTGGCACAGAGTGTATGAGATCAAGTAATTGCCGTCCCACTGCGTTGTCTGGTGGTTGCTTGTGCGCAATTACATCCTCTACATATTTCAGTATAAGATCGAGCAATCCTTGCAATTTATTAGAAGCCTCGGAAATTTGTGCCAAGTCCAGCATGGGGGAAACGGTTTTGGGCCGATGCGGTTGTGAAATACCAATAGTTTTCTGCAGCAACTTGAGTCCGAAGGTCTCTGGCTCGTAACAGGTAACGTCAACGGGTATCGGTGTGAACATGCAACCTGTCTTGCCGCCGGGTACACCCAATTGTATGCAAACATAGGCACGCAAGCCCATACGTCCGCCTTGCAGCGATGTATCTACAGTCAAATGCACAGGATTGTTGCACTCACGTGCGTAATATTCATGAATTACGGAGCTATGGTTGGTAACCTCGTTGCCAGTAGCCCACCAACCTGGTAAATGCAGAAGGAAAAGGAGTTAACGTCAGCACCATACTACTAAGTGAGGTTATGTTTGCCGAAACTTACCGACGACATTTTCATTGGGATTCACTTTGCGATTTAAGTCATACAAATCTAGTGCATAACTTAATTCGGCCTCCACTTGATCGTCGTGTTCCTTGTGTGGCACACAGAAGCAGTTAGTCACCTCAACGACGCCCTTATCAACGGAACCTATAGTTGCAGTCACAGTGACGACGTCACCGACAAACGTGGTTAGTTGGGTGTATTTTTACGGACAATGCGCACAACTTACCCAGCAAAGTGCCAATAACTCGATGGGAATCTGCATTGCGGCGCTCGTAAGCATCCACAACCTGGAAAAGCACCACGGGATGCACACGCACAGTTAAATTTAAGCCAGACATTTTCGCAACGCTGCCAACTTTTTTGCCAATGAAATGCGAAAGAAATTAAAAAAAGCCAGTGAACAAATGTCAAATTGCGAATGACAATAGCGATAGGAAAAGGGGAATGACATTTTATCAACAGGGTTGCATTTTATAACCATACTAATCTATTACTATTATTAGTTACTCGTACGCAAGAATGATGGAATGAGAAGCCGCATTGTGACTCATACATATATTGGAAAACCAATTTCTCCATGGCATTTCCAAAGAAATTGCAATAAATATTTGTGCAATTTTACTTTAGGTGCCACATTACTCAGTACTTAAAATTTAATTGTGCAAAGCCTGTAACACGATTATAACATATGTATGTACGTTTGACTAGTAACCGGTTCATCAGTTGTCCGAGTACTAATCGTCCATCCACCATCTCTAGAAATCGGGCCGCAAAAATATTAAATAAAAGACACAAAATAGACATTTCACAATTTAAAAAGGCTTACTATTAGCATTTTACACACTTATTCGACATAACAAAATCTATGAACTTATGGTTTTTGCATTATCAAGTTGCTCTTCATCAATCTTCTTCAGCTGCTCCACTTGACGCTGCGGACGTACAACAGTCAGGTATCTATATACGCGCATTCCTAGCAAGAATGTACCATAAAGTGTGACACCCATGCAGGTGTAGACTACGCCACGGTGCAATTTATCCAAAATATTATTCACACCAACACGTTTTTTCTGCATATTTTGATATAAATTATAAAATTACCACCCGGCAGGTATCCACTCTTTTTACACAATACAAGTGATCAGCTGTTTTGGCTGTCAAAGAGTAGGGTTGCCAGTTCTAACGGTTTCAATAAATAACAGCGATAAGCAGCGGATTATAAAATTCACAAGCGTCATAGAGTGCTGGAGTAATTTTTGGAATAATTTATTTTCGGAACTACTTTTCAAAATCTTATTTTAGCGATATGGAGGGTATGTAGTGTGACTTGAAGCTTTTGTAAATATTTGATTGATATGTGTGTACTTAAAAACGATTTCCAGCTATTCCAGATCAAAAGCACTACAATCTCACGCACTACCAACAACGCTTTAACTGGGATTGTGGTATTTCCTGCATTATAATGATCCTATCGACAGCGCAACGTGAAACACTGCTACACGACTTTAACAAAATATGTGCGGAGGAAGGTTTCGGTTCCAGCACTTGGACAATCGATTTGTGTTACCTGCTGCAACGCTTCCAAGTTCGTCACGAATACTACACCAAAACGCTGGGTATCGATCCAAGCTACAGTGAACACAGTTATTACACAAACATTATTGATAAGGACGAAAAACGTGTGACCCGCAAGTTCAAGGACGCACGTCTACATGGACTGCGTGTCGAGCAGCGTACCGTAGAAATGGAAGAACTACTACAGCATCTGGGGAGACGAGGTCCTGTGATATTATTGACCAATGCATCGTTGCTCACATGCGAAGTTTGTAAAAAGAATGTGCTTGAGAAATTCGGGTAAGATGTAAGTTACTGTAGTTAGGTTAGATTGTCAAAGGGAGTTCCTGGGAACTCGGTGAACAAGTTACTGTTTGCATTTTCTGTTGCCAAACATTTGGTATTAAATCGTATATTAATTTTGCATGGTTGTTATGAGATGCTTTTATTGTCATCATTTCACTTTCCACTATTTGAAGTTGTTTCCAACTCTCTTGTATCGTTGACAATACACGCACCCCCCAAAGTTATGCTGGACATTACGTTGTGCTTTGTGGGTATGATTTAAAATCTCAAATGGTTTACTATCACAATCCGGAAGTGCATGATGAACGTAAGTTTTTATTAAAATAGCAAATGCAATATGTATATAGTAATCAATTCGCTTTGTACATATGTATATGAATTTTAGATGTTTGTCGCTGCACGACAGACGCTATGGATTCGGCACGTAAAGCATATGGCACTGATGAGGATGTGATATTGATCTTCCGTAATTAGAGACAAATAAGGAAAACATTGAAATTTGTTTACGTTACCTATAGACCGTATATGTAGTTATTAAATGCTTTAGGAAGAACACCGCTTTTTGTTAAAACAGTTATTTACACTTATAATCGAAATTTCGAAGGTGAGCGAAGGTTAGATAGCTTTTGTTAACTTAACTAAAGAATATGTATACCAAAACAATAATTCATGAAACCTCATGCTCGAGTATTAGGGGGCCTTCTCAAACCTACCCCCGCCTGCAAATATACAGGTAATTCGCACTGCATTTTCAAGGCGAAGAAAGCATTGTGATAAAAATAAGTGCAAAAAGTGAGTATTAGCTCAAAACACAATTTGTAGGTATGTTTTAGGTACAAAAATATGAGGAGAGAGAGCTGTATTAATATATTATAGAGCACGCGGATAAAAAAAGAACTTATGTTGATTTTGTATTAAACAAAATCAAAACAGATTAAGAGTAAATAAAGACATGATGCCCAAATGCATTTGCTATCTTTGTAAAATGTAAGGGCATTCTGAGGAAGCAACGTCCAGTGGCACTAAGAAATGTTAAAGTTATACTATAGAAAGTGTACTACGGAGTGTGCGAAAAATATGCGAAATGTATACCCTGCTTTAATTCTTCAAATGAGATAAAACAGTGGATGTTTCGTTTTAATTTTATTTTATTATAAACAAACATTCTATTTATAGCTTTAATATATTGTACGTTATTTTATATACATACACACATACATATAGTTATGAGAAAAGTATGTAAATTGTTTATTGCCAGTTACTTTAAAGACTGCGGAGCGGTATACTACTTCTTTACTTTATTCATCCTTTAATTTTTTAGTATTTACTGGTGTTTATGCAGTCTGCACGCTGCACAGAATTATACCTACGCATTTGTACGAAATCTCATGCACTTATATTTTACTCCTTCCTACAGTATGCACTTATGCATACATACATATACAACTACTATATATCGACTGCAGAGTGGAAGATCGACCTATATTGGCAGTCAGTTCGAAAACGCCTTATCTCAAAAAACTTTTCAAGAGCGCCCTATTTCAGAATTTGGTTGAAGAACGCATTATTTAAGAATTCGGTTCAAAAAGCCCTATCTCAGCACATTTTCAATATATTTTCAAGTGAGATAGGGCGTTTTTGAACCGAATTCTGAGATAGGGTAAAATAGTAAAATTTTGAAATAGGGCGTTCATAATAAATTTTTTGAGATAGGGTGTTTTCGAACTGACTGCATCTGGAACGCGGCTAATAATGCGTATATATATTTGTTTGATTAAATTGCATTTTCATACTCTCCAAATAGAAAATTGTAAACGACGCGCATATAAAATTATTTATTGTCGCGATTAAGAAATTTTTATTGTAACATTTAGCTAATGTTAATGACTTAATTGCATTACAAATGTAAAAAAATGTTTGTATTTGTCGCATAAATCTATATAAGTACATATATTTATGTATTAACAGTGTACACGCTTTGCTTTTGGGCTAAATACGTAATAAATGATTTATGTATATTTTAATGTATATTGTGGTGTTTTATTAACAAATTTTTTATGTTCTATAAATAAATTAGCAACATTTGAGCCAACGGGGCTGAAAAGTTTAAATACAAAATCGAAATGCAAGAAATCGTCCAAAGTTATATTTTTGTTTGTAAAAAAAATTCTAAAAAAAAAGTTAAGAAATTTTGATAAATTTGTTTGCATATTTTCCTATTTGCCATATTGTATATTATTTATTTGTTTATTGCTGTGTATATGTAAAATAAGACAGTTGCTATGTTTTATTTCGCACTTATGCCGCTTTTCCTCAGGCATTGAAATTAAAAAAATTCAACAAAAATTTCCGCCATATATAAATTTATAAATGACATGTGTAAACATTAGGGCTCGTAAAATTATCCGACTATTCGACTAGTCGGTTAACCGATTATTCGATTCTTAACCGTTCGCATGCTTATTATTCGGTTAATGGTATTCGAATAGTCGCCCGCCTTCGATTATTCGAATAGTTGCTTTGCTTCGACTACTCGAGCATTGTAGCAAATCGAATTTCATGAAAAAAATTTATTTAAATATATACATGCACACATATTTATGTATATTCAGATACAAAAAATGAGCGGACGCAAAAGGAGCTGGGTTTGGGATTTTTTCGAAAAAACAGAGGACGAAAAGGAAGTAACATGTTCCATATGTGGTGCAGTTTTGTGCTACACCTCCTCCACATCCTCACTGAACAACCATTTAACAAAAATCCATAACAAAAATCGCGAAAATGAGAGGTAGGTATTGCTTTAGCCATTGTCTCTAAAATATTTCGCAATAACATTTCAATAATTAGCGCACATTCTTGCAAAAAAAGTTTGCCTTAATTTTGCACATGCCATCTTATATATGTACTACGAATGTAACAAGACTTTTCATATATGTATATGTATCTGTAAATGCAAAAAAAACTCGAACTTAAAATATTCGATTAACCGAAAATGAACGGTTAACCGAATAATCTAAAGTGAACGGTTATCCGAATAGTCGACAGCTTTCGACTACTCGAATATTGCTAACCGATTAACAGTAGTCGACTTCAGTCAGATTCGAATAATTCGGTTAATCGATTAACCGAATTGCCCGAGCTCTAGTAAACATACTTAGGGTCGTTTTCTCAAGTAGCTTTTAAGATTTATTTATATAAAAAATATGTTTGAAAATTTAAAAAGCTACTTGAGAAAATTCCCAAGTTTGTGATTAACCTTTGTGGCGTTTATTGCCTAATGGAAATTGGCCATCAGCTCTTACCTATTCGTTGGCATACAGTAGTTAAAAAAATACTGAACTATTTTTTGCTCGAACTACTAAAAAATCTATTTTTCTTATCGTGTTCTTTCTTAGTTTATATTTAATGGTTTTTATGTGGCTATGTATAATTGTAAAATTGTTTTTTTTTTTACTACATTGCGTTACTATTTTCTCTAATCCAAAAATTTGTATAGTAACTGTAACTTAATATGCGGTGCTTCAACCAGCAGCAATGGCTTACCGAATTCATCTGTGTATTTGTCATAATATAGTTCGCATAGAACTTTAAAGCCGTTTGATTGCAAGATTTTTTGAGAAAATATACCCGTTGCATCGGCTTTCATGAGCTGGAACAATGAGAAAGGAAAGAAAGTAATATTATAAAACATTTTATCTGTGACAAAATTTAAAATTATATTGATTGTTGATTTAAAACTGATATCATTTTTAGAAACGGATAAATTTTGTTTTATTTATTTTATTTTAGTATGTTACCAGAAAACATTTTTTATGGTTTCAAGTTGAATTGTAAACATTTACTTAAGATTACATAAAATTATGTAGAATTCCCCTGCACATCCCGATCGAACCTTTTTATACATTACAAATTTTTAAGAAATATTTTTTGGGGGTTCTAAGCCCTCCAGTGTTTCGATTTTAATTTTTATACAATAGAGGAGTTCTCGATTTGTAGCTTTAAAGAATTGCATTTCGTTGCATTCCCAACAACAAAACGCAAGCTAGATTGCTACGTAGCAGCTTTACACCTAATACGTTACAAATCGTGAGTTGCCCTAATATTTTCATACAAATCTTGAGAAGTCCGTATTAGCTAGCGAATTTCGAGACTTTTTTATGGCTGAAAGAACAACTACTATTTATTTATTTTCTTACCACTCTTCTTAGTTAGCGTTAGCCTTTCCACTCACCTTAAACTCAAAATCTCGTGCTATTTGCTCGCTCCGTCGCACCAGTTCTTTGGCAATTCCCTGTCCACGAAAGCGGCCATCCACAGAAAGCATACGCACCTCAAAAGCACGTCCTACATTAAATTGTCCAAAAATATTGGCACGCAAATTATGTTCGTTCAAGAGGCGGAATATTTTTTTAAAGCGCTCGTCATCACTCAGTTCAATACGCTCCTGAAATTGCATAATATCATGCAGACAGGCGACGCCATTAAGGAGGACACCGGCAATCTAAAGGAGAGCGTTACGTTTTAATTTTTTACTTTTTTAATACATACATATGTATGTAAGTATGTAGGTGTATTTTTTAACGATACATATGTACGTGATATCTCTCAATATTTACTCACATCGTTATTCTCGCTCACAGCCATTAAACTCAAATTATCCTTAAGTGTCTCGTAGCAAAGTTGTTCCAACTCGCGATGACCCTCACCACGGCGACACAAACCAGCCGCCTTGTTAAGTGGCTCATCGGCAAAGAAATTATCACATAAATGTCGAATGACATCGTCGTAACGGTCTTCAGTAATCAATTTGTACTCCATAATGCCGCAACACGTAGAGCTACTCAACAAGGCAAGTGGGTATGTGCAATACTAAGCGCGTATGTGTATGTATGTATGGGTGGATTAACGACTGGATGTTGGCGGCTGGACAGTAGTGAGCACCAGACAAGACGCAGCGATACTTTGTGATGTGTCGGCGAATAGCAACTGCAATCGAAAGTGGATTAAATGTTTGAAATTGTGGTGTGTGTGTGTGTATTATTTGGCGGGGTGTGTTGGATAATTTTTGCAATTATTTGCGATATTAGAAATTTTATGGACGCTGGAGATTAAAGACGTATTTAATTATTTGCAATTAAATTGGTTTATATAAGCAGCTTGTGGCAAATTTGAATTAATTAAACGCTTTTTAGATGCCAGCAGATACATATGTACATACCTGCACACATACCGTACGCAAAAATATCTAAATAAAAATAAATAAATAACAAAATACTAAAACAAATTTAATTTTAAAACTATTTAGTAACATTCCTAAAATAAAAACAGTTTTCGTTTCATCCTTTAAAGCAGCATCTTTTGCTGCCCCCTTTGGCGCCCTCCATCTGCGACAATTTTTTTCCAGCACCCATCTGTGACGAGTTGTGTTTTAATAGTTTCTGTTTGTTTTCTGGATGCCAGACATGTAAGTGACTGCGATCACTTACCCATTTCAACGTGGCGACGTTCAATTAGAATTGCGAGAATAAAATTTAACAAAAAACTAAGTACTATCTGACACATAAAGCAATTAAAACGCGCAGACAAAGCGACGACTGCACATAAACGTAAAATAATGAAGCGCTGCCGGGCAAATCGCACTTTCATACAGTAAAACCCGAGTATTTGAAATTTTTTAAGACAAAAATTCTTAGTAAACTTTTATATTTATTTAGATTTTTATTATATGTGCACACATAGTACCTGCTTGTTGTTTGTTTTCTCTTTACGTAGTTCTTTAAAACACATACATATGTAAAAAATATCCTTTTAGTCAGTTCTGAACTACGAATACACGATAAGAGTTAAGCAATGATAGTCTATGAGCAAAACAAGTTCTTTGTAAGTAAAAACCTACAATAAAATCAATAAATAAATAGTCTTTAAATTTGTTAAATGTTGTGCATTTTATTTTATTTGTTTTAAGTATACATATGTATATATTTTTTATTCCCTCGTACTTTACTTTATTTGCTTTTATTTTATTTTGTTTTAATTTATTCTTTCTCAATGGTTTTAGTTTATAATATACTTTTCACAAACATAATTAATTTTATGTAATCAAATTATTTGCTGTGTCGATGGCAACTTCAGTGGGTTATCCTAATTGAATTTCATGTACATATGTATGCATGTATATATGTATGACTGTACGTAGTATGCATGACTCTTCTAGCATATTTATGTATTCAAGTAAGTATGCACATACACATGCATTTTTGGACCAGCCTAATGTACATTCATTTTATAAATGATATTGATAACCAACCTGTAGGATCTCGCAATAGACTTAGAGCACACTGCTATACTGTTGGTGATTGTAAGTAGTAAGTAGTCCAAAATTTGGTCTAAGCACATGTAAAATTCGATTAACATTTAACATTGACTAATTGTCCGCTTGTGGATGACATTGTAATCAATTTTAGAATAAAAAATAATAATACTTGCCCCAGCTACGATTCGAACCGGGGTCTCAAGTTTTCTAAGCGGATGCTCTCTCTAGATGTCAACGCCGAAGATGAAAATCCTCTGTCATTTTAACCAATTTTAGATCAAAACTCTTTTACACTTTTAGTACAATTCACATGTTTTTCAATACATTGCTTTAAATTTTTACACTATCCTATATAGATACAAAACTACCATACCTTCTTCTTCGTCTTATTTGGCGCTGTAACCGCCTAAGCTGATTGTATTTTTCGATCAATTGGACCAATATTTCCTACAGGGATCTTTTCTATATGTAGTATGTAGGAGGGGCAAACAATAAAATTCTCTGTACGAACAAATGTATGTAAATATGTACTTATGTATACATATATGTATGTACATACATACATTAAGCCGTATCACGACAAATAACAGAAAAAAATTTTAGGTGTGTCAGTTTTATTCAACACTTATATAGAGAAAAAAACTATTTTTTTTTAGGCACCCGCTAAAAACCGCTGAATCGCGTTTTTGGCAATAACTTTCTTATTTTATATCCGATTTTTTAAATTTTTATGTCGCTGGAAAGGTCTCGCTCAGAACTATAATTGGTCATAAAACTGTTTTGGCCTTCAAAACCGTTTTAATTTACATATACATTCACTAATTTTGGAACGACTAGTTATCCATAGATTTTTATTTTTATACAGTGCGGGCGCTGTTTTCAAACTGTTGAAGCGTAGAATGTGCCCGGCAAATAGTTTGATTGAAAAGTGTATGTATGCATGTGTGTACACTAAGCTAGTATGTGCGTAAACTAGACTGGGTCGCAAATTTAATTATAGATAATTCATACAAATTTCCTCAGAATAGTCAAAGGTCAGTTTTGCTCATAACTTCTTATATGTATGTTAGATACAATTTTAAAGTATTGCATGTGTAGTATATAAGCGTATCCTAGCGCTGCAGATGGTACGTTCGGCCAAAATTGATAATTAAAACAAAAACTCATGGTTTAAGCGAATGTTTAAAGCATTACTTTTTAGAACAAAATATTAGAAATTTTAACTTAAAGTATTATAACATATCTAGTATTAATTTGTGTTTGGACGTTACTCAAATTCTGAAGCATTGTTGATATGATCATCAAAAATCTGAAAATTTGGATTACATTCCTTTTTTCATTTTTGGTTGACTATTTCTCGGATTTGTCAATATCGGTAAAGAGATATTTTTAAGTTCTACATAGCACTTTCATATACTCTTGTCCTAAAATACCTACTGATATATGTAGGTAAACTTAAATATTTCGATTTCTACCATTCTAAATCTCAATTTTGGTACCATACAATTAAACTTGTTAATACTGCTCTCGAAATTATAATTGTAATGAATTAAGCTGGGTTTGTGTTGACCAAATCTCCATGAAGTCTACTTTAAAATCGGTACTTTATTAATTTTTTTTTTGTATAAGAGCCGGCCCGATCTAATTTATTCACACATGTATGTTACATACAAGTTTACTTCTTCGTTGACTGGAACGGAAACGGACGAGTATTTGGAGGTTGGGATACGGAAATAGGGTTGGGGTAGTTGATAACTAATATTCTGAAATTGAGTATTAACGGATCCTATTGCGAGAGAAAAGTATCTAATATTGAATATCAGTAAAAATTTTGAAATTTGTTGAACCAAACTAATCTTGTCTATTTGATAAAAAATTGTCTCTAGTAGATGTAAAAAGAAAAAATAAATTTTAAATATTTTTTCGCATAAAATAAGAAAACTGAAAACTATCCAATGCCAATAAATAGGAAATTATTTAATTTGTTTTTTATTTTGGAAATCTTTAGTTATTATTAATAATAATAATTTATAATTTTTTGTGTGCTCATACAAATGTACACACATACAAACATATGAATTCGGATACTTATACAAGATAAACATTTTTAATTATATACTCCACATTGAAATACTCCCAAAAGTTCTTAGAACTTTGCCCTCTACATAAGGTAACACCTTAACAATCGCCATATTCCGTTATTCGTCAGTTTCCTTGCCGCGAATTTGTAAACGTTGACTTCTGAGCAGCGTCAGGTGAAAAAATGTGAAAATTTAATGGAAAATAACGTCGCAAGTGTCGGTTTTTGTTGAAAATGTTGTAGTTCGAAAAATGCTCTATCAATTGAGTGCAAAAAATTAGCGCGGGCGTTGTTTTTTATGTGGAAATTTCGCGAGTGAAGTGTAAGTGAAAAATTTAATAGTTGCATGCACAAGTATGCAAATGTGTTGTTAGTGTATTCAGTGAATTAGCATGTAGGTGTAGATGAAAAGTCAAAGTGGGAGTTTGATAAAAATAATTTAAAAAATGAGTTTCTAGAAAAGTGAGAAAGTAAAAGAAATATCATATGTTCAGTTGATAGCTGTCGTCTGAGGTCGGCTGAGTTTTATAAGCATAGTGGTGTTCAAACTGTTGAAGGTATGCACATATCGTCGTTTAAACTTTAAAGTACCAAACCGCGTATCGTGGTTCTGAAAAACCTCGTAACTGACATTTGAGCCACAAAAAAGATATTTTCTCACCGGAATCTCCTGGCATCAAACCCTTATCCATTCATACCAAAATATCGATACTTAGATATAAGAAGGAGAGATAATTAGGGATAAAAGAGAGAACTTTGAAATAAGACAAGTTTTACCCTCTCCTAAAAAATTTTAGCAACCTCACATACGAAGTTTTGCATTTTCTTGACACGCGGTTTTGTACTTAACATTTGATCATTTTTTAGTAGTCAGGGCAGTTTTCTCAAGTAACTTTTAAATTTTATCTGCCGTTCAAACCCATTTTTTAAATTTTAGAATTAACTTGAAAAAAAACATTGAAAATAAATACGTACATATGCACATGGTCATAAATTTTGTTTATTAATTATATTTAATAAAATAAAAAAAATTTCAAAGCTTCAAACGTCAAATTTTCTAATATAAATTCCACACTGACGCTTCCCTAAAAACCTTTCTAACACCATAGGCATACAATTGCCTCATTGGAAATTCATTACGGCCGTTACATCTTTTATATGCATTCATACATATGTATGTACACGCATGAGCACGTGTGTATGTATGTGTGAATATACATACGTACAAATAATTTGTATATTAAGTTATATTTTTTACACCCTCATGTGACTACTTAGCACAGTGAGAGTCCGGTGCTCGCTTGGGAATCTGCCACTAATCCTTATCACAGGCCAATAGTCAGCTATGCAAGGCTACTGTTAAAAAGAGAGGGGTGGAGAAAAGAAACACGGTGTTGCGGCACGTGTGGCTGTTTGTTTGTTTTATTAGCCGTCATCGATTCGGCACTTCTCTGCTCGCTATGTTTTAGTTCCGGTCCATTAAAGAAGAATTTTGCATGTGAAAGCAACAACAAAGTTAGCTAGCACGGATAGACGATAGCGAGTGTGGCTGTACCTCATTGAGTTCGATCGTTTCGCCACTCGCTAACTGTTGGCGAATCGATGACGGCTATTGTAATACTAGCCAATGTCCGCCAGCTTCGCGGCGCCTAATAAGAACTTTTGCGGCCAAGAATAGTAACGCTGTGAAACCATATGGATTAATAATCCCTTACGAGGTCATGAGCTTTACCGATGGTCTTCACCTGTGATATCTCTGCCAAGCATGCGTAATCTTTTTCTATGATCTTGCAACTACAACATTGGTCCGATGCGTAAGCTAATAAAAGTCCTTATAAAGAAACTCAAGAGCACACGTGTGCGTTTTCTGTTAAAGGAGGGCCAAGAATCCTCGCTGTCCCACAGGATGAAAAGTTTTCCCGAACATTGGCTAAATGAGTCGTGTGATCATTAGCGCAGACAAGGGGTGGGTTTTATGTTTTTTTTGTGATTTGCAAGCTTATTTTACATACGGGATGCGCCGCAAAACTCATTTCCACACCGCCGCTGAGTTACAGCAGGCTTAGTCCACGGGCAACGTTTTTTTTTTAATGAAAGCGTATAACTTAAACATAGGGCTAAAGCAGACCAACCACACGGGATTTCTATACATTTCGGTTGACGCGCCATCCATTGGGTCCATTTTTTGCAAAACATTGCCTAAATTAAAATTAATACGTATTATGAATTTCGACCTCGACTCCAGCCTACTTAGCGGGTCCATTTTTATCAAAAGAATTTTCATCAGACAGGTGCATAGCTCGCATTTAAAATTTGAACGAAATCGTTTAATAAATACGTCTTTTAGAAATAACACCAGTCCAGCACCACCTAGCGAGTTTTCTAGTAATATATAATAGCCGTCATCGATTTGTATTATGTACAGATATCGGCCTGTTACAATTTTATTATTCTCAAATACTTTCATTTGATACTCATATGGCAACATTTAGGTTATCTCATCAATTTAAGTGCATTAAATTATTCAAATAGGTGGCAACCCGCTTCAAACATGTTTTCGAAAGTAAGCTTCCTTAATCTCTTCAGTTTAATATCCGCATTGTAATATTTCATTTATTTTACCAATTTAAATGAATAAAATTTTTTAGAGGTGGCAGATCCCCTAAAAATTTGTTCGGCATTAAAATTTCCTGACCTCTTTAGTTTGATGCCAATATTGCAATATTTAATTTATGTTATCAATGAAACAAAATAAAAGTTTTCAAACAGGTGGCACCCCACATTAATTTTTCTTTAATATCTATAATGTACAGACATTGGCTGTTACAATTTTATTATAAGTGTAGATATATGTAGATTTAATTTATTTTATCAATTTAATTCAATAAAACTTTTCAAACAGGTGGCAACCCTCCTCAAAAATATTTTCAGCAGTAAAATTTCCTAAACCTCTTCAGTTTGATACCCATATTGCAAATATTCAATTTATATTATAAACTAAATTAAATTAAAATTTTCAAACAGGTTGTAACCCTCAAAAAGTATTTTCGGTTGTAATCATTCTTAAAATTTGAATTGGAGGCTGGTTCAAAAAAAAAAACAATGGGGCTTGCCACTTGAGAGAGCAAAGACCAAAGAATTCAATGGCCTGCCTCTCTTTATCCTTCGACTAAAGGGCTGCTCAGGGAAGCCTCTTGGAAATAACTCTATATAAAATTATGGCTTATACTACACCAAAAACTGCAAAAGTCGAAACTCCAAACTTTATGGAAATTTTCATACAAATGGCCTAGTTCTCGAATGGAATACAAACCTATTGCACATTCGTTATAGAAGATGAGACTCTAAAAAAGATTGGTTTTCCAATCCTTTTCGAACTTTTAACCAAGCCCAATGTTTATTCAGTTGTATTATACACTTTTTAAAATAGTTATTTCGAAGTAAAACATACAATTTTTTTCATTTGTGAAAAAAATATAAAAAAATTTAAGCGTATCCTTATGTAGGGTTAATGACGAATTTCTACTAAGTATTAAATCGGAACTAAAAAATCGAAATAACCGAATCGGAAGGGCTCGACTAATCCGATTTAATAATTTCCTAACAGTTGCCATGAATTCCCTGACAATTTTTTAACACGCCTTAAAACGTTGCGTATACGCAATGTAACACCCAACGATTAGTATAAATTTTCTAAGTATACACATACACATATACATAAATCAAATACACACATATAAAGTAATGTATTTTTATGCAAAAATAAGCAAACAAAAAAAGTCGAGTACGAAACATTGCATGGTGAACCAGTGAAAAGTTTATCTATCCAAGTCCAAGTAGAGTAAAGTAATGGAATGCTAGTTTGTGATGAAAGCGTAGTGGCTAACGAAATTAATATAGTGTCGGGCATGATACATGGTGTCGGAAGCAAGTGGCGCTTTAGCACTCAATGGCGCTTCGTAAAATCATAGTAGCTAAATAAGCAGTTCTTGGTGTTTACATTTGCATGATTGCCTAAAGTTTTTTTGAGCAGGCTAACCATTTACGCACACAAAGAATAAAAGTTGTTTGCGACATTACTTTTTGATAATAGCTCTCATACATATGCCTTTCTATTGTCTGTGACTTGTGCCCAACGTAATGGATATAGCATATTACTAATGGCCCCTCGTGTGATTGAATCCATTAAGGCGCAAAAGAAAAAGTTCACATATGCACAAACATATTTAGCACACATACATATATAGTCCATAGAAAATATATAAAAAAAAAAACCGTATAGAAATTTTTCCAAGACAGACAAAGGCGTCTTGTCTGATAATGATATAGAGCGGCTGAATTCGCCGGTGAAATTTTTTTATTAGCATTTTTTTTTTTATTAATGGATAAAAAACATAAAAAACAATATTTTTTAATTAAATAAAAAAGTTAATTTAATTTAATTTGTTATTTTTGTAATTAAAAAAAGTTGTAAAATATAAAAAATGTATATAAAAATGCAATTTAAAATATATATTTAAAATTTATAAAAAAAATATTGCATTTAAAAATAATTAATTTCTAGTCAAATCAAGTTCAGATACAAAAAAACAGTGCAGTTGTTTAAGGATAGTTTGTTTTTATACAGAAAAATAATAAAGGGCATAAAACCCTTAAATGTTAAATGAATTAAAACGAAAAAGATGGTTTTCAGAGAATATAAATTAAAAAGTGGATATTTACATAAAATTTATGAACGAGAAAATATGTATTAGATTGTTTACAAAAAAAAATGTAGTTTTCAGATAAATGTATATGAGGTTATTGTGCATACATATGTATGTAAAAAAAATTGTTTCCAAAACCACAGGTTTTTATAAATGCTATTCAATAAAGCTAAAGTGCATTTAATGAACACAAAAGTCAAGAGCATCAAAAATCACATACACAAATGCAGCAATGAATACCTGTACGTTAAGCGTTAAATTGTGCGTATCCCAACATTTTCTGTGAGCACTCAAAGCCATATACACGAATAAATACATACATACATATGTATATATATACGTACCCAGTCGGACCGAGCAGAATGTGGTTTCGAAAAGAATGCCTTTTTAGGTACTTATTTCTTCATGAGAAATTTTAAGTACTTTTAATTTCTCTACAAAACTCTCCAACCCAACAATAACCTCCTCATGCGAAATCGCATTCTAACAGAACCGTTCTTGCTGGGTTTCACGCCTGTATAAAAGCCATATCCATGTTTTTGGAACTACTTTCTTAGAGGGTAAAGAACCGTGCTATTAGTACATCTTGGAAGCAACCAAGTCCGACTGGGTAGTAGCAAACACACACACACAGATAACGAGCCAACACAACCAACACTAGAAAAGCCTATAAAAACTCTCACCCTTACCAGCTAAGTTGAGGAGTGCGGAAAGTCAAATATTTTACTTGTTGATTTAAACTCTCTAATTTTTCATTTTTGCTCATTAACACTAACTCGCCTTAATAACTATGCACTGCTGCGTATGTACAATTTTAGAAAATAAATTATTTTGCAATTTTCTATTTTACTATTCAACTTTAGTACTCTGAATTCGATTGATTTTGACTTTAACTTGCAAAATTTGTGAGCAAATAATCGTTGTGCTCCTACAAAATCCAAATGTGTACTAACTGATTGCCGAAGGTGGCGACAGCAGCCTTGCTGAGATGGCTGATAGTTACAGTTGAAGGCCGCGATGCTGCGCAGCAAAGCTTTACTCCACACTTAATACACTTGATGGTTTTACTCAAGTCTTCTATTATTTTTTTTTTTTTTTGTTATAGAGGGTGTGTACGATGGTAAACTACGCACACCCACCATATACACAAATACCTAAACATAAATAAAAAGAAAAAATTGCCGCCGAAAGTTCGGTATGCACAAAACCACTAACAACATTTGCTTGCCTTTGTTTACGAAATTTTTGCAAATGTCAGGCCTGTCGTTGTCGGCGCCATCGCATTGTACGTGATCAATACCAATCATTTTGCCCCTTTTTCAGATATACATACATAGGTACATTTATACATGTGTAGTACTTATGTATTTATGTATTTACATATATTTATCTGTATACATATGTATGTATATACATAAATATGTCCATCAGTAGCAACAACAGTGAAAGACTGGAACCCTACCAGTGATTTCGCTTTCATTTGACTTCGTGTCGACGGAAATTGTGACATATTTACGTGCACTTAACACACTAATATACACATAACACACACAACAGTTGTTTTGCAACAACTACAATTGGCGTAGCGCAGAAATTTGTCCTCCTCGGTTTGTGGCAATAGTATTGGTAAGGTGGTTCAAAAGTCAACCGAGTACAACAGAACCGACAACTGTTGATTTCCGCTCTGCCGCGGTCGCAGTTGCGGTCGCTGTTGCTGGTGTTGGTGTTGGTGTTGCTGTCTTTACACTGCCTCCCTACAAGACATTGCTGAGCACTTTAGGCAAAAATTCTCACACATTTACACTTTTGTTTTTGTAGTACGGCATAAATGAGTTGTTTGACTATTAGTACTGAGGACTTTCTGATGACAACATTGAGGGGAAAGTACTCAATTTTTTCCCATGGCCTGAACGAAAATGAGGACTTTGATAAGCACTTTTGTGATTAGGGATAATGATAATATGAGTACTCATATGATACTCAGCTGTCTTGTAGGGCTGGTACGTTTTCATTTGTTTGACTGTGTGCTGGTATTTATTGCATAGTGGTTTTGGCATACAAAAGTTATTTTTGTTGGGCAGGGGCAGGAGTACGCACACGACAGATGTACAGGTCGTATGAGCAACAAATTTGCATTTGACTTTTCTGTTTGCTAGTATGCCATGTTTGAAACAGGTTTGTATGTATAAGCTCCTGTTTTAATCCTAATATTTAATTTGTTTATTCATTATTATTTTTACTATTAAATTTTCTTACATTATATTAATTTTATAACACATTTGCCCTTTCACAATTAATAAAAAATTGTATCCGCCCAAGTCCATACGCCGTTTCTCTTTCATGAACTTCACTAACAGATGGGGCCATCAAACAATCGGTTGCAACCCGGTAGATGTCACTTTCATTTAGGTCATATGACATTTGTGCTGATTTTTTTTGCGGTTAGGGACCAAATGCACTACCGGAATCGGTTTAGGACTATCTTTGACATTTGTCAGCTGACTTGTATTTTGTGCTGCGTGTGTAGACGAATTCTTTTCAGTGGAGTTTTATTGGAAAATCAGTTAAAAAAGTATAAGAAATGTCAGGCAAGGACAGGCTACCGATTTTCCCATCTCGCGGGTAAGTCGTACCATAGTTTTACTAACAGAAAACCCGTTTGCAGCAATGTTTTTAGCGCTTGTAAATTTAATCAATTTGTACGACTTCACAATTGCTAAAAATTTTAATTTTTTTTCAGTGCCCAGATGTTGATGAAGTCACGTCTGGCTGGTGCACAAAAGGGTCATGGTTTGCTCAAGAAGAAAGCGGATGCATTGCAAATGCGTTTCCGTATGATTTTGGGTAAAATTATTGAGGTAAGTCGTATGTACGTTCTACCAGCAGGGCCATAAAGGCCAACCCACTTTACACATGACTGTGATAGAATTTCTAACTGGGTTAGTGACTTACACTACCGCCAAGGCATTTAAGGTCTCTGCCAACTTTGCAACTTGCGTTGCTCAATTGGCTTAATTCGACTTTTTCAGACTAAAACTCTTATGGGCGATGTTATGAAGGAGGCCGCATTCTCGCTTGCCGAAGCCAAATTCACCACTGGCGACTTCAATCAGGTGGTCCTACAAAATGTAACCAAGGCACAAATCAAGATCCGCACAAAGAAAGACAACGTCGCCGGTGTAACGCTGCCAGTGTTCGAATCATACCAGGATGGTGCTGACACCTACGAATTGGCTGGTTTAGCGCGTGGTGGTCAACAATTGGCTAAATTGAAGAAGAACTATCAGAGCGCAGTAAAACTTTTGGTTGAGTTGGCATCGCTGCAAACATCATTCGTAACACTGGATGAAGTTATTAAAATCACCAACAGAAGAGTGAACGCCATTGAGCATGGTAAGACAAACTATAATCGGCCTTACTGCCAATTGTGAAAAATTGTTTTTGTTTTGCTTTATAATTTTTGGGAATATTTGTTCACATGGAACTTCGCGATAAGGCCGAATAATAACACAGGCCAACAAAAATGGGGGAAAAAATTGTTGCGGCAAATGTTAAAGCCGTTTTTGATAAACTTTTTTGTGCTGATTACGAATCCGTTAGTATAAAGTTTCCATCAACTCCAGATTTTGAGAAAAACGAGATCAAATTGTCAAAAAATCGGCGTTTTTTGCAATATTTGAGAAGCTGATAGAAGGTAATAGAACCTTCCACTTAGGTTTAAATTAAAGCTAAAACTCTCGACTACTATCCCTGAAAATGCCATGCCTGCAAATTGATCTGATGGCCACCTATAATCATTTATTGAACAGCCAGTTTTCAGTTTCAGAACAGTTTTGTCGAAGTTTGAGTACCTACCGAAATTAAATAAAAGGTGGTAGAACCTTCCATTTAGGCTTAAATTAAGGCTCATTTACAACTCCTGAAAATGCCAATCCGGCACAGCAAACTGGTTTTTGGCAAAGTTTTTTTTTCAGTAGCACAATTTTCCAGTATTTTTTTATTGTTCAATAAATGACTATAAGTGACCATCGAGTCCAGGTGCAGGGATGGTACTTTCAAAATACTAGTTGAGAATTCTAGCTGTAATTTAGGCCTAAGTGAAAAGCTCTATTACCTTTTGTTTCTTTTCAAGAGATTCTCAAATATTGCAAAAAAACGCGATCACAGTTTGACTACGTGTTTCTCAAAATCTGGAGCTGATGAAAACTTTATACTTAGGGATTCGTAATCAGCACAAAAAAGTCTATCAAAAACAGCTTTAACATTTGCCGCATCAAAATCAATGTTGACCTGAGTAATAATATTAATATTCTGGAAACTTGAATTTAAAAAATTTATACTTGCAGTCATTATTCCTCGCATCGATCGCACACTCTCCTACATCATCTCCGAATTGGATGAATTGGAACGTGAGGAATTCTATCGTTTGAAAAAGATTCAAGATAAGAAGCGTATCGCGCGTAAAAAGGCCGAAAACCTTAAAGCGGAATTGCTTCAACAGGGCATCGATGTGCGCCAACATGCCAATATATTGGACGAAGGCGATGATGATGTGCTCTTCTAAGCCATAGAAATATTTATATGCCACCATTTAAAATAATATATAGCAAGAAACTATTGATTATATTTTGGCTAATAACACGATAAAGCGCCAGTTATTTTTCATAGGCGAATATAAACGTGTTACTAAATGTGTATATACATATATTTGCTATTTCGTTTGTGTTTTCAAAGTACGCCTAGTTGCGATAGCTACTAACAATTTAGCAAAAATGTACACAAAAATAAATTAAATATTACAGTTTCAACAGTATTCACAAAACTTGAAGGAAGATAAGAAAGTTTTTTTCGCAAAAATATTGATATGTGTCTGTGTAAACATAAAACTGCGCTTGGTATTCATACGTATGTTCATATATGAGTTTTGCGTTTATAAGACAAATTTAAAATTAAAGTGCGCATATGTAAATTCTGTATTCCATTCGTTAGATATTCAACCGCAACGCTACTGTAATAATAATATTGTACTAAATTTGATGTTTTATGTAATTAACTTGTTATTAGATATGATGCTTTTAATTTCTACACATTTAGTTAAACTAAATTTAAAAAACGGCGCTACTGCGTTGAGATGCAATACATACAAGTTCTGCTAAAAGTGTAAGCGTGTAGAAAGCGCTCATGTTTACTCAGTGTAATAAACGATTGCAATACTTGCATTACAAATTATCGAAGTCGGTTTTTTTATTTCAAAGTCTTCATCACAATCGGATACACTTGATTTCATAAAGAGTAAAATTACGCTATTGTACCAGCAAAAACTTCAAGTAAACAAGTTAATAAGTAGTAAAACAAATCGGACTATAAATACGGGGTTTCCAATTATATCGGTGCCACCTATTGGCCATTTTTTTGTGGAATAATCAGCCTCACTGCGAGAGTCGTGTTGAATGCAAGTCGTTTTTCGAGAGTCGAATCGACCCCAGCGGCTAAATTTTTTTGTGGAGTTTTTTCCTTCCATGTAGGTAATATGGGGTGCATTCCGAAACGTCAAAATACAAAGCGTCAGTCTCTTTTATTTCTATACCTCTTTAGATTGTAATGCCAAATGTGCGCAACCACAGTTAGATGCTAGTTTTCTACTAGGTTGGGCGAATTAGACTTTTTGTTCTAGTGCGGTTTAGAAATAAAAGAGACTCGTGCTTTGTATTTTGATATTTTGGAATGCACCCATGCATTCCATATGAACCAAATCGGATTATAACGAGGTGTTTCTTGACTGCTGCGCCACCTAGCGGATCAATTCGCATTGTCATTGGGTTCTGAGCTAAGTTAGAAGTTGGTTCAAAATTTTACCCAAACAAACATACATATTACACACCTAGATCTCATACGCGATCAACTCAAAAAAATGAGGACCATTTTTTTGCATAAATCAATGCATAGAACTTACCTTCAACGAGTGCAACTATTTTTTTGTTTTTCATGATTATATACATACATTAACTAAAACAATACTGTTATACCTGTATTAAATGCCTTGAATCTGTACGATTCAGTTATATTTCCCGATATGAATTTTGAGTTAGCACACTTTAGATCTAGGTGTGTGCTATGTACATACAAAGCAAGTTAAATAAAAGCTTATAAAAAATAAAGTTTATTTTTATGAAACATTTTTTCTAAATTTTATTTCGTTGTATGTAAGTAACCTTTAAAAATATCGGCTTAGAAGCTATAACTATACATACATATATGTATATGTATTAAATAAATATGTATTGTAAACCCACACCAGCGAAATATATTAAATTTAAATTTTTAAAGCATAATAGATAAATTCTTTGGGTACTTCGTTTTAAAGAAAACTTAAGGCTTGTTTTCAAATAAAAGAAAACACATTGTCAAATCTGACTAAAAAACAGTCTATCGATTGATTTAGGTCAGAATGGTGTACGGGAAATGCGCTACTAAATAGGCTAGCTGTCCGTTTTTGGGCCATAAAGGAGATAAAGTTGTTTCAAAATATGACATAGTAAAAACCAGCCTTTACAGTGTGTATTGAGCTTTCTTTTGATTTGTTAAACTAATAAGGGCTAAGAAATTTTTTTTTGAACTTAAATCGTTTGAAGAGTTATTAAAATTTTGTATATATAAGGAACTTTAATTATTTTATTTATAACAATATCAAAAAATTTAAAAAATTATATTTTTGTTAATAAAAAGGCGAAGGACTCGCTGCTTATAGAGTGAATTAATGCTTGTTCTACGTGGGGATATAGTTTCGATATCTTTATTTTCGCTTTGCCTCTTTTGTCCTAAGTGAATATGCTTTTGTTTAGTGTTTTGTATAATATAAAAATATTTAGATTTTTGCTTAAATTAATACATATAATTACATATAAACTAAATTTTTTTATTATTTTCTTATACTAATGTGCTAACGCCTTTAGGGCCCGCTGGCCTTAAATAAATATTTAGAAAGAAAAGTCAAAAAACATTTTCAAGACTAACAATGGATATCAAAATGTTTTCGAATCTCTTTCTCAATAGCTTATATTTAAGGATAAAGGAGAGGTCAAGTATTATTGCGTTTTGTATTTGTAAATATTAGCTTTGCGCAGCTTTCAGTTCTCAAAGCATTTGTTGAGAAAAAAAATTACAAAAATCAGTCTTTAGATGTTGAGCGAAGTGAAAAGCTAAAATATCAATGCTTAAAAGTTTAAACTAATTAAGAAAATGTCGTCTATAGATTTGTAGTGCATTTCATACAGTTAGTAGACCCTGCCATAGGGCAGCGTATTTGGGTAGTAGGGCATCAGCAGTTTGCTGCCAAAGCGTGCCGATTGCGCCGATTCGCTGCTGTAAAATAGTAAATGAAAAAAACATTTATGAAGATTTAGTAATTTATTTAAAATATATACTTAAATAGAATTACCTTGACGAAAACATCGATGTGCACAGTTCTGCACGTTGCATATGACCCGCACCACTGCTGGGTGGTGTTAGGCCGCAAGTGCTGCCTGTGGCGCGACGGCGTGCGCGTATCAGTGAATAAATCGCTACAATCACGGCAACTAGAAAGATGAGACCCAGTACGCAAAAGGAGAGGGCCAGCTTGGAAACGGAGAGGCAGAGTGTGCCATCGCTGTGGATTTGGCGAATGTGTGGCGGATACTCTTCGGCTGAGGGGAGGAAGACAAAAATAAAAAAATAAATAAATGAAATGTATAAAATAAATAAATAAAATGCAAAAAATAAAAAATAAATAAATAAATGAAATGCAAAAAAATAATAGAATAAATAAAACTGAAATAAAATGTATACATTAAATTAAACTCAATTTAGTTAAAATTAATTTAACCTCATTAAATACATATATTGAGCTGATTGTTTATTTACATATGTATTTAACTTTCTTTCAACCCAAAAAATATACATATCGTCGATGTTTTTGCATCGACCAATTGCAAAACCGCACTCAAATTTTACAGGGGAATGAAAAAATGGTTTTTATTTAAAGGCATTGCCTTGATAGGCGGTATTTTTTCAAGCTATTATTTTACAAATCTGTCGTTTTATTAAGGATTTTACGGCTTTTATGCATAAATCTCGATGCATTGAGTTCAACATCGACGATATGTATGTACATATGTAGATGTATGTATGTATATTAGAGTGCATCACCAAAATTAGTGACGGGTTTTCCACCGGAACTATAAAATTTATTATATTTTAAGACTTCCGCCAAAATATTTCATAAAAATATTTAGAATGAGCTGGACCAATTTCAAAATACCCCCAAAAATCTCATTACATATTTTGATTGCGTTGATAAAATTTTTAAACATTTTTATGCAGTCCTTTTAAGCTTAAACTCTTCTTCCATCTGAGGCGATTTTTTAGCGAAAATGTTTAAAAAAAAAAAACTAGTTTTATTGACAAAAAACTGGATTCTCAGAGGTATTTTCAAATAGGTCTAGCTCACGTAAGTCTTAGTATTTTACGAAATGTTTGGCGGAAGTACAGTATATTTCATATTTCGGATAGAAAAACAGTACATTCTTTTTTGTATGAAAAGTGATGCACCCTAACATACATATATGAACCTTCATATTTGATGATGCACTTTAAATTCTTTTAGTTATTTATTTTTAACATATGCTTTCAATTTTATTAAATTTATTTATTTTTAAATATAAACCTACAAATTTTGTTTTTATTTTTTATTTTTTTATTTTTTTTTTTGCATCCTCTAATAATGTCCACCTACCACTCATATTATAACGACGGTCGTAACGCAATCGATCCACTTCAATTTGTGGTGCCGTCACCGCCAAAGAATTGAAAACTTCAATGCGTGCTAGATGCTTATCAGCGCTCAGCTGTAACGGCTCCGAGCTGCGACAATTTACCTGCAATGAAAAAATGTATTAAAAAAAAATGCAGTGCATATTCAGTAAAACTGCATTTAAATTGCGTACACATTTGCTGTAATAATTCGAAATGAAATCGAAAGTTTACATAAGTTTTATTTATAAAAAAAAAAAAATAAAATAAAAAACGCAAGTGCTCAAACATTTTCAACATGTTAATTGGCCTCGAGTCGCGCTACCATATCACTTAATTACCCAAATTAACAAGTAAGAAACATTGAAGCCACCAACAAAACTACAACAGCCAACACAATTATTACACGCCGCTTGGGTTTCTTTAAACTCATCTGCTTGGAAGCTTATTTCTAGCCACTACGTTCATTGCTCATCCACTCGTGCGCTGTGAACGATTTTTTCAATGCGCATGCGTGCGCAACGCCAACACCAACGCAGTGACTAGTGGATAATGTGCGCGGCTTCAGTTGTTTTCGAACGCAATACGGCTGGCAAAAAACAAAGGTGGCAGAGTTATTAAAACGTATGTATGTAAATACCGAAACGCAATGATTTTGTGGCTTTAAAGAGCCACATAGCTCATGCTTTCTTGTTAAATCAAAAATGTGTAACGCTTTGTTACTCGCATGCCCCAGACAAATGGTCAACCTCGCTGGGCGCCCGCATGCACTCCAGCCCGCCTACCCGCCTATCCGCTTGCTTATAAGAGCGCAAGCCATTCAACTCGCGCGAAAAGTGAAACAGCCTAAAAATTACACACAGCGAGGTTTTGTTGTTATTTTTGTTTGGTTTTTATATTTCTTAAGCAGGTTGCACAAACAATTTAGCTTTTAATTACAAAATATTTGCACTAATAGTATGTGTACGTGTGTGTGTGCGGCACAAATGTGCATTTGTATTGTTTACTTATTGTTTTCTGTAAAGTGCGTGCAAATAATTACGAAACAGAGTTTTTTTTTAAATATTTTGTGTCCTCACTTTCGTATCACTTCATTGATATTGGGTAATTCGCAAACAGAATAAACAAATAGTGCAAAGTGCTTTGAACATGTTTTTAGGAGATTCACTAAATAAATGTGTCGATTAGAAATTATATAAAATTATATCGGTAATAGATAATAACCTCTAATTTTATTATCGATTTCATCATCGATATATTTAAAGAACCCGTTATTCAGTTAAATACATATTTAGAGGCATACATACACATACATACATCCTTATCGATTTATTTAACAATCAATTTATCAATAACTGATACATTTGTTAATTTACATTTATTAATTTACTCCTCAATACGTTTATCGAACTCATCATCGGCATATTTATCGATTTATTAATTA